CAATGTACTATTTCTTATCTGCAAATATTTTTAAATGAAGGTAATCTTTGCGTTCTCTCCTTTCATTAGGTTCTTATTGCTTAAGATCAGCAAAGTCATGTACTTGTTTTAAAGGTGTTTCAGTAATCGTTTTGTCAATAATTAATCTGATCTGTATTGTGTCATGTAAAGAGATTCTATTTCAACCAGATATTTTAAGCCTTCTTGGCATCCTTGACAGATATTCAAAAGCCTCAAATGTTTCAAATTCTGGCACTTTGGTATCTGTAGTGAGGCCTCCTGCAAATATCAAAGGATTTACCTCTCATTTTGTAGAGACAACAAGTGATTAGGCTGTTTGGACCATATGAAAAATTTTGTCAAGGTGCAAAGCAGTGCAAAATTTTATCACATTAAAATGTCTAGTTATACAAGTCTAATGACTTATTTTGCATTGCCAGTCATAATTGTTATCTCAATTCAAAATGTTTAAAAATTACATCTCTCTGTAAAATTCTGTATGTGCTTCCTAAGACAAGCAAACAGATGCCTCGTCAATTATGAATGTTATGGTTCCAGTCATACCTGTGTGAAAACTCTTTAAAATCTGTTTACTTATATTTGTAAACCATCCAAAAAGGGGTGGCAAACTCATGTTACTACAAACAGGTAATTCTAACCAACTGATTGTAATTTTTAAAGTGTCTAAAGATCTTAAATCATTACTGCAACTAACTTATCATTCTATTCTGAACTAAGATTGCTTGACCAACACAAAAAAAATCTTCTTGGTTCACATTACTTAAATCTCAGACTGTTTTTTGAAAGCATTTTTAAGTCATTTGACATGTTCTTGCTCAAGTTCGCTGATCAACCAAGTTACTCATGTTATTCTCATTGTTTTCTGTAATGTACAATGTAAGTTCATTGTAAACCTGTACGCTTATCTCACATTTATAGCAGACATCAAACTTTATAAATGTATTCTAGAGCTTTTATTTGGTAGTTTTCACTTGCTATTGTTAGTGTAATCAATCTGGTAATCCTGACTTCTTCACTTCTCTACTTTCTCTCTAAAAGACTCTCCAGACCTTATGAAGGGATGAATAACAAGAAACCAAGAAGCCTAACTATATCATGGGCATTGCCTTACTTCACATAAAGACGGTCAGAATGTGTCTGTAACTACCAATCTCTAGCTCAGTCCATTAAAGATTTAGAGATAAAACAGAGCTTCCCGAATGGCTAACATCCCGAAGGCTGCCTCTGTGTCCACTCTAGCAGAGTCCCAGGAGGGAAGAACAGAGAGCTCGGCAGCAGGAGGCCCATTCATGCAGCTTTATACAGTGACTTGTTCTCAAGGAGACCCAGCAAGGCCAGTCCACCCTGAGGCAGGCAGCACCTGCTTGCAATGTGGGAAGCCAGGAGATTGGGCAAACAGCTGCCTATGATGCAAGCAGCTTTGAAAGAACACTGTTGGCTCTGCCAAGAGCCAGGCCACTGGAAATGGAACTGCCTTGGGGGTCAAAAAATTCCTAGGTCAGAATCATGGTAGGCCACAAGCCAGAGAGCCCTTCACTCTGCCCAGCTCCCAAAGCATCCATTGCTACGATGGCCTAGGGTCAACGACATCACAGGTAAAGCTGTGTATTTTTATCCAGAGACACTGTCTGTCCTGTACCAGCCTTGTATTCAGGCCAGCTCTCCTTTCTGTGCAGCCTGGCAACTGTGGTCAATGAGATGTCTCCTCCCTAAAGGGTTTCACACCTCCTTTCTGATGTCTCTACCCCACATGAAAAGATCAGTGGGCCTCACATATACCTCCCCAGGCCTTAATACCCACCTAATTATCAAACCCTTCCTGTTAACTTCTATTTGCATCTCAGAAAAACCTACAGATTTGGTTATAGCAGAGCTTTCCTGGGTACTCTACTAACTGTCCCCTGGGACCTCATGTATTTAACTTACTTGTTAGATATGCCTCCTCCAGAGTTAAAACTCAAGTGCCAGGGCCAAGCATGGTAGCCTAGCAGCTAAAGTCCTCGCCTTGCATGGGCTGGAATCCCATATGAGCACCGGTTCTAATCCCGGCAGCCCTGCTTCCCATCCAGCTCCCTGCTTGTGGCCTGGGAAGGCAGTGGAGGACAGCCCAAAGCCTTGGGACCCTGCATCCACATGGGAGGCCTGAAAGAGGATCCAGGCTCCTGTCTTCGGATCAGCTTTGCTCTTGCCATTGTGGCTGTTGGGGAGTGAATCAACACACAGAAGATCTTCCAAACTCCTCCTGTCTGTATATCTGACTTTCCAATAAAAATAAAAAATAAATCTTTAAAAAACACAAGTGCCCATGTGTGTAAGTTTCTACTAGCTGGCATTGAAGCCCTCATGGCCCCCTCTGTCAGAGCCCTGGCTTTACCACAGGTCCCTCCTTTGCCAAAATGGAGGGAGGAAACGAGAGAGCACAGGACTAGAAGCAGGCCAGACCATCTCCATCCCATGTTGTTCCCTCTACACCTTGTTTCTCAAGGCCTCACTAGACAATTTTTTAATTAGACAAATTTTTAAAATTTATTGCAAAGTCAGATATACAGAGAGGAAGAGAGACAGAAGATCTTTTATCCAATGATTCACTTCCCAAGTGGATGCAACAGCCGGAGCTGAGCCAATCTGAAGCCAGGAGCCAGAAGCCTCTTCCAGGTCTCCCACATGGTGCAGGGTCCCATGGGTTTGGGCCATCCTCGACTGCTTTCCCAGGACACAAACAGGGAGTTGGATGGGAAACAGAGCTGCTGGGATTAGAATCGGTGCCCATATGGGATCCCAGCACGTGCAAGGACTTTATCTGCTAGGCGAGTGCACTGGACCCTCTGCTCTCACTTTCTCCCTACACCATGCTAGCTCCCTCACTGAAATAAAGGCCGCTCGTGTGGCTTGCCTGCTATGTGGCATCTTGGGTTTGTGGAAAAAAAAACTAACACTTCCTTCCTGGGAACTGGAGCCAGACAGGAAAGAAGTGAAGCCAAATTTCGTTGAGACAATATTACAATACAGAAATTAAACTCAATTGTATTTGCTCCTGTCTCTTACCCTGTTATAATAACTTCTAAATGAAACCTGTCTTTCATCTCATTCATGGTTTGGCTTTGTTTTAACAACCCCGTACTGGCTGGATGCTTGCCTGAGAAAAGCTCTTCATGAAGGAAGGCTTTTTCCAACTCACAGTTTTAAAGGTTTGCAGTCAAAAATGAAGCTGGCAGTGGTGGACAGTGTGCCTGTGAAGGGGACATCGCATTGGCAGCCCAGGAGCAGAGAAGGTGGCTAGGCCAGCAGTAGGTGTTTATAACCATCTGAAGTCCTGCCTTCCCACATTCCATCCAGAAACCTAAGGGCCTCCCTCCAGGCCCGCCCCCTCAACCCCACTGGGGAACAGTTCTCACCCTCTCAGCACCCCTAACTTGTGACTCTGGTGATCAAACAGCTGCATCAATTAGGAGCCAGATCTTGTTCGAGCACCAGCAACCCTCAAAGTACACACTGGTCTCCTACTCCTCTTTCAAAATCCAGGTCAGACACCACCTACTCTTCCTTGTAGTCCGTCCCTGCTTCTGTCTCCTTAATTCAGCAGCTGCGAGACTGCACGTTGAAGCAGCATCACCTGCAGCTTTGTCCTTGATCCCCAGAAAAACTGCCCTGCCCAGCGATGTGCCATCCATGCTCTTCACAAAGCAACTGTCCGTTGGCTGCCTTCCCTCCTGGATTCTGAACTCTTTTAAAAACAGTTCTCTGGGTTACTATGGTCCCTAGCATGTTGTAGATCCTCAAACTCCACTGAATAAAGTAGTTTACCCAAACTAGTTCAGTGGGTTCACAAAAAGAGCCCTATTTTGTTCAAAAAACCCCAAATCAAGGTTGTTATTTTTGGGGGTGGGGGTCTATAATCTGACAAAACAACTTCTGAGAAAAATGTGTTTGAGAAAAAAGGGCTTGAGGTAAGAGTTATTAAATATTTCCTGAGCAATCACATCTTATTAAGTGTTAGATATCATCCCCAAAGCATCTTGGAGGATAAACAGATAAATGAGACACATTTTTGCTCCCTTCCACAAGTTGCTAACCATAAGTAATGGTAATCTGGTTCTTTAGTCCAGTGCAGGGAGTAATAACTGTGTTATTCCTCAGGAAAAGGAAACAGCTCGGATTGTTGGATTTGGTGATTTCATTTATCTATGGGACAAAGAAAGCGTTACTAAGTTTTACCTACTTGACAAAGTAACGTATTTATGAGTATTTGCATTTATTGCCCAGTAACTCTCCACTGGACAGACTTGGCACTTCCCCTGAAATCCACCTGGACAAATGGCCACGTGAGTTATTAACCTTGTTTTCTCCAGCTCTGAAAGCATTCTATGATTATCATCTAAATAATATCCAACTTCCTTGCTCCAAAGCAGCTTATTTTAGAACACTTTGAACTTTGCATACAGGGCAAAAGATTCCAAATTACAGGGGCCCACCTGGCGCGGTGGCGCAGTGGTTAAGGTCCTCACCTTGCACGCCTGGGATCCCATATGGATGCCATTTCTATCCCGGCAGCCCCGCTTCCCTTCCAGCTCCCTGCCTGTGGCCCGAGAAAGCAGTCAAGGACGGCCCAAGGCTTTGGGACCCTGCACCTGTGTGGGAGACCCGGAAGAGTCTCCTGGCTTTGGATGGGCATAGCATCGACCGTTGTGCTCACTTGGGGAGTGAATCATCGGACGGAAGATCTTCCTCTCTGTCTCTCCTCTCTGTATATCCGCCTTTCCAATAAAAAATAATAATAAAAATAAAAATAAATCTTTTTTTAAAAAAAAGATTCCAAATTACAAGTCGTCCATTAGGGAAGAAACTGGACTCTGCTTGCACTGTGGCCGTGAGGGGCTGCTCCTCCAGCCAGCTTGTGATCACACAGGTAAATAAATCATGTCGCGAATCAGACAGAGCCACGTAGGGTTGAAGATGAAGCAGAACCTAGGAATACCTACCATCCTTATCACTCCTAGGGACTTCAGAGTGTCGTTCCCACAGTAAACTCAAGTTAGCGTCTCCTCTCTTAACACTCTTTTTCCTGCCCTGAGCTTCTCTGCTGTGTTATTTGGGCAAAACAGAATCAACCGATTCAGCCCCAGTTCCTTCAGCTGGCTCAGCTTGGTCAAGGAACTCTTCTCAAGGAGCCTTAAGAACACCTCTGTTTTTCACGGGCCATGGGAAATGCTTCATATCAGGCAAACAGGCAGAAGTGAAAAGACTTCGGGTTACTTCCTCAACAACCAGAGGATTAGATCTGAGAAAATGAAAACGGAGGTACACAGATCTCTCCACTTTTCCACGTCTCTTCCCTTCTTCCTCTTGGGGTTAGCCAAGACCGAGAGCAGCAAGCCGGAGGGCCCCTCAGTCCCTCTTGAGGTAGATAAGTAGAGAACGTTTAGGTCCCTGTGTAAGACCACTTGCCTGTTTACATGCCACACAATCAGGAAATCTGACAGTCTCAAAATGGAAGATGACACTTAGAACTTACCAGAAGGCGACTCTACCTTGAGTTTCAATTAGCAAACAGGGTAAATAGCATCCATCACAATGGCTTCCACATCCTTCATCATGTTAAACTGCTATGGTGACAAAGTCCTGCCTTTACACTATACATCACCTAAAGCAGAAAAAAAAAAAAAGAATTGAGGAAAGAGGTAACAGGGAATGGGGCAGGGGGACAGAAATCATTGTTCTAGGTTATTTTTCCCTCACCCCAAGAACTAGATGAAGTTCCTTTGCTCATCATATAAACACATTAAATAAACAAATAGGTATCTCTTAGCCTGGCTAAATTAGACCATGCAGCTGACTCATATCATCACCTGCACCGAGGCCGATCTTGTGCTGAGCAGGTGGCATCAACAGATAAACCTACACTGCTTCCTAGCTCATGACTGGCTAGATCACTCCCATGCAGTGACCTCTATTGCATAAAAGGGTCTTGAGATGCTCTTTCTCTTGACCTTTGTCAGGCACAAGAGGTTTTCCAAAACGTATTTTATTTCTCTAATAGGCAGAGAGAGATTTCCTACCCACTGGTTTACTCCCTAAATGCTTATATTTACAATAGCCAAAGCCAGGGTCAAGCTAAGGCCTGGGATTAGAAACCCAATCCGGTGTCCCACGTGGCTGACCTGAACTACCTCAGTCACTCCTTGCTGCCTCCCAGAGAACATATTGGCAAGAAGCTGGAACTGAGAGTGCAGGTTGGACGTGAACCCAGACACACTTTTTTATGGGTAGATGTGTGTTCCAGATGGCATTCTAAGCTCTACACAAAACACTTGTCCCCAAGACCTTCGTTTTTTTTTAAAGATTAATTTTTTTTTTAAAGGCAGAATTATACAGAAAGGAAAGGCAGAGACGGAAATCTTCCATCTGCTGACTCACTCTCTAAACGATCACCTTGGCCAAAGCTAAGCTGACCCAAAGACAGCCAGGAGCCAAGAGCCGGGAGCTACTTCTGGGTTTCCCATATAGATACAGGGTCACAATGGCTTTGTGGCCATTTCTCTGCTGCCCTCCCAGGCTATAAGCAGGGAGCTGAATAGGAGATAGATTAGCCAGGATATGAACCAGTGCCTATATGGGATCCTGGAAATTGCAGGAAAATCAGCCAATTGGGCCATGGTGTTGGGCCTGAAGAAAAAAAAAAATTTTTTTTAATGAAAGTTGTAATATAATGGGCCCCACACGATCGTTCAACAGCTAAATCCTCACCTTGCAAGCACTGGGATCCCATATGGGTGCCGGTGCATGTCCCATCTTCTCCTTTCCCTTCTAGATCCCTGCTTGTGGCCTGGGAAAGCAGTCAAAGCGTTGGGACCCTGCACCTGTGTGGGAGACCCAGCAGAAGCTCCTGGCTTTGGATCGGCATAGCATCGGCTATTGCGCTCACTTGGGGAGTGAATCATCGGACGGAAGATCTTCCTCTCTGTCTCTCCTCTCTGTATATCTGCCTTTCCAATAAAAAAAAATAATAAAAATAAATCTTTAAAAAGTATATTTAAAAAAAATTGAATTACAAACTTTCAGAATGCCATAAAATAGCTATAATTGTTTACTTCCTCCTTTCCCACAATAACAGAATATGAGCCAGTTAATAGAATAACAATGACTTTATATTAGCTACATCAGAGATTAGAACCCGAGATTAAAACCAGAGTCCAGGGCCTGCTATGGTGGCCTAGTTGCTAGTCCTCGCCTTGAACATGTTGGGATCCCATATGGGTGCCGGTTCATATCCTGGAAGCCCAGCTTCCCATCCAGCTCCCTGTTTGTGGCCTTGGAAAGCAGTCGAGGATGGTCCAAACCCTTGGGATCCTGTACCTGCGTTGGAGACCTGGAAGAGCTCCTGGCTCCTGGCTTCAAATTGGCTCAACTCCAGCCATTGTGGTTACTTGGGGAGTGAATCAGTGGACAGAAGATCTTCCTCTCTTTCTCTCTTCCTCTCTGTTTATCTGACTTTGCAATAAAAATAAGTCTTAAAAAAAAAAAAAAACAGTGCCCATATGGGATCCCAGTTAGTGCAAAGCGAGGACTTTAGCCCCTAGGGTCCATGCCAGGCCCAAATAAATATTTTTAAAAATGAAATTAAAAAAAAAAAAAACCACCCAGCCCCATACATAATCAACTTGTCTTGTGCATCACCACCTGCTTTTAGATTTTCACTCCAATCTAAACCCCACAGTGTACTAGGCAAGATAGTGGCTAGAGAAAAGATCAGCAGGACAGCCGGTCATGTGTCAGCTTATGAAGACATTGGGCAGTTTAAAAACCCAACTTAGATTTTTTTTCTTGAAAAGGAGTGAGTTACATACATGGGTGTTACAGGACAAGGAGTAAGACTGCACTAGAGCTAACTAATCCTCCTTTGTCCTCCTCCTCCTCCTCTGTCTTGCTCCTCTCCGCCCTGACTCCCTTCCGGAGGCAGCAGGCTTCCCTTAGCGTGGTCTGCAGCCACCTGCTTGTTCTGTTGTTCATCTCTTAGCTACCATCCCTCTGGCTGCCTGCCCTCAGGGCAGGGCTATTCCGCCACTTGCCCAGCGTTCTCTGCAAAATCAGCAAAGCACAAGTCCCGTTATTTCCCCAGGATGTGGGCCTTAAATCTCAGCAGGGAACAGGGGAAAAGCAGGAGGAAGCCTACTGGCGGTACTGCAGCCTTTTTATTTCTCTTTTGCTTCCCCTTGAAGGAGGAATATCAGCCTTCTGTTTCTCTTTCACAAGCCCCTTGTTAGTCATCTTCAAATTTTCCTTTCCTGCTAACAGCTGTGCTCTCCCCCACTGGCTCCAGCAGTTTCTTAGGCAACTGTGGGAAGTTAACAGAAGCATCTTGGGCTCCTACCCCACCCTCTTTGCACAAGGAACGTGTGTGGGCCATTCTGCCTGCTGGCTCCTTGCCTTGGCCTTCGCCCCTGTCCCCGGGGAGGCACGGGGCTGCCTGGGGCTGCCTGGGGCTGCCTGGGGCTCTGGCTTGCCTGGCACTGTCGATGGGAGAACTCCTCACACACAGGCTTGTCCTGAAGACTTCCTGGAAGGGGCCCAGGTGGTGCTCTGCAGGTGCGAGGGATGTCAAATGTCGGCGTTCAGATTAAGTGGTGCTTTACTCAAATTTATGGATGAGTGGATACATTGGATAGGAACTAGATATTAGGCAACATTAAGAAGTTGTTGTTAGCTGTGATGTTGAGAACATCCTTACTTTTAGGAGGTAAGTACCACAGAATTCGACGAGAATGTAATGAGGTCTGCAAATTGCACATCAAACAATTAATAAAGACAGAGCAAATAGGACAAGATGTTAACTACTGGGGCTGGAATTGTGGCATAGTACATTAGGCCTCTGCCTTCAATGCTAGCATCCGATATGGGTGCCAGTTCAAGTTCAAGCTGTTCCACTTTTGATCCAGCTCCCTGCTAATGCACCTAGAAAAGCAGCTAAAGAGGACCCAAGTCAATGGGCTCCTGCACCCATGTGGAAGACCTGGAAGAAAGTCTGAGTTACTGACTTAGACCTGGGTCAGCTCTGGCTGTTGTAGTCACTTGGGGAGTGAACCAGAAGATGAAATAGTCTGATGTCTCTCTTTCTCTCTATATAAGTTTACCTTTCAAATAAATAAAACTTAAATCTGTAACACACACACATTTAAAAAGCACCTGATAGGGCCTGGTGCCATGGCCTAGCAACTAAAATTCTCTCCTTGAACACATCGGGATCCCATATGGGCGCTGGTTCTAATCCCAGCAGACCTGCTTCCCATCCAGCTTTCTGCTTGTGGCCTGGGGAAGCAGCAGAGGATGGCCCAAAGCCTTGGGACCCTGCAACTGCATGGGAGACCCAGAAGAGCTCCTGATTCCTGGCTCCTGGCTTCAGATCGGCTTAGCTCCACCTGTTGTGGTCACTTGGGGAGTGAATAATTGGACAGAAAATATTTCTGTCTCTCTTCCTCTCTGTATATCTGATTTTGCCATAAAAATAAACAAATCTTTAAAAAAAAAAAGCAACTTATAGAGCCCAGCACAATGATTCAATGGATAAATCCTCACCTTGCAAGCACCGGGATCCAATACAAGTGTGGGTTTATGTCCCAGCTACTTCTCTTCCCTTCCAGCTTGCTGCTTATGGCCTGCGAAAGCAGTCAAGGACAGCATCCGCAAGGGAGACCCAAAAGAAGCTCCTGGCTCCTGGCTTAGATCGACTCAGCTGTGGCTGTTGTGGTTATTTGGGGAGTGAACCAGTAGATGGAAGATCTTTATCTCTGCTTCTTTCCAGAAGTCTGATCTTCCTTTCCAATGAAAATAAAGAAATCTGGGGGGGGAAAAAAGCAATTGTTAAATTTAGGTATATTCCTGTACTCCTTGAACTCCAAAGTTTTCATAGTAAAATGTTGGAAGATGAGCTAAGATATGACCTTTTTACACCAAACCAAAACAACAGGACATTTTAGTGATTTATTCAAGAGGACCTTTTGAATGTGAAGCTCTGAGTATTAACAGGTGACTAAAACAGCAACAGGCTCTTTCCAATCAATAAAATCTTTAAAATAAAAAAGTAAATATCAAGTGTTCAACTATTAGCACCATCAGAAACCATTGCTGAGAAGGAAAATAGCCTTGTTCCTGGAAGACACCTCCCAGCCACTCATGGCATGCTGAGCGTATTGGAAGAGGAAGCCATTCCTTGCAACAGGAATAGGTGGGTATCCTTTTTTATGGCTTTTCCTGCCCACAAAAAGTCAGCCCCCATGACTCTCTAGAGATTTATATTACATTTGCTCTTCTAACATGGCACTGCACATATTCTCAGCTCAAGGAACCCATGTTATAGAAGCAGGATGGAGCAGCCGGCATATGACCGTGAAATGCACTGCACCTGTCAGAGGATATGCCACGCAGAAGCTATTGACCTCATGGGCAATGGAGCCAACTATTGAAAACTTGGCTCAAGTGCCAGCTTGGAAAGCATGTCCTGTGAGAATAAAGTGCTGCCCTCTAGCACCAGCCAGGGCCCCAAATCAACCACCAGTGCCCAGTGCCAATACACAGAAAACAGTTCTCATTTCAACATGGACTATAAAATGCTAACTTTGCCTCTTCTATCTCCCAATGCTAATTAACTGTCTATAAAAAAGTTTATGAGAGCTATTATTATAAAACTGCTATTATCATTATAAAACTGTTA